ATATTAATGGACAGCCTATTGCTAAAAATGGTAGGTAGTGTTTTCTCTTTCTCAAGTCTCTGAACCACTGAAGCTGTACAATGTTTTCATAAACTGCTGAAAACAGGTTTTATACTAAGAATTCCTGGCTTCGGTGGTTCATAAAAACATTTTACAGCTTCAGTGGTTCAGAGGCTTGAGAAAGAGAGAACACTACCTGCCATTTTTAGCAATAGGCAGTCCATGTGTAAGTATGAATTATCCGTAAATTGGATATCCTTAACCTGGGGGTTGCCTATGCTAATAAAAAAAAAACTAAGAATTGGAAATCCATTAATCAGAGATGGAGGTAGAAAAAGATGGAAAATTGGCAGATTGTGTCTTTGGTATGTGTGTTTCTGATATCTTTTGAATAAAGACATAATCAAGTGCATTTATAGCCAAATATGAGAAAATTATATTCAAAAATGCTCATTTTATTAGGGAATGAATAATTGGTATTTAAATATAGGTTTTCGTGCAGATTTTAAAAAGCAAAAAATTTAACCTAGAGTATAAGAGTAAAGCAGACTTAGCAATGACTATGCATTGAATTGGCCTGTCTCTGCCTAATAAAAATGAATATGTCTCCTGCTTTAAAAATTAATTTCTATGCCGTCATTTAATTAAAAAATACTTAAAGATTTGCTGCCTCCGATTATTAAGAAATCCTCTTCTAATCTTGTTGTTATTAGTAGGGGACACAAGAATAGCTTTTAACCCACACAGCTTCAAACTGCTTTTTCTTTCCTTGTATAATAAATTAAATGAAGCATAACATTGGGTATGATTTCACCAATATTCTTCTGCTGATTAATTTTATACAACCCATCAAGTATGAAAACTTGACATCTGGAATAAGTGGATTAAATGTTATTTTCAGCTAATAGTGTTGATGAAACATAACATCTGAATTAATGATCTTGTGCATCAGTAGAGCATACTGCTTGGGAAGTACCTCCAGATGTCGCTTCATCGTTTAATGTCTGCTTAAAATGGAGTGTAACTAGGCTGATGATCTGAGTACCATTGTGCAGCAGTGCCTAATAGACTTCCAAGATCATAATAGATGCAGACATATCAGAAGATATTACAGTATATGTACCTTCTTCTCAGCATGCAGGAATTAAGAATTATTTCAGAGTGTCCTGGGCAAAGTCAGGTATCAGTTAAATTAGGAAGGTTCAAATGGCTTTGTTAGCTGGGTTCACACATTGCATTGTCACAACTTTAGTCATGGCTTATAGCTTTGCTTGTAGTATAAACTTAGATAGCTGTAGTTCATTTAGCACAGAGGTCCCCAACCTAAGGGCCATGGCCCACTACTGGGCCATGGCCTCTTGGCTACTGGTCCACGTGAGTGGCTGGCCAGTGCACACATGCATGTGCGCACACTAACGCCCCCTTGCGCCAGTGGTAACTGAGCCCTGAGCCTCGCGCTAACCGAGCTGTGAGCTGCATGCCGCTGCTAGCTGAGCCACAAGCCTTTCGCCGGCGCTAGTTGAGCCACGCGCCATGCTAGCCAAGGCACAAGGCTCTCGCTGGTGCTACCTGGGCTGTGAGCTGTGTGCCAGCACTAGCCAAGTTGCGTGATGGCACTAGCTGAGCCGCATGCTGGTGTTAGCCGAGCTGCGCTCTGCGCACTGGTGCTAGCAACCCCATTTGTAGAGTGCGCATGCTCATGGCCCTGCTCACGCTCATGCAGCCAAATTTGCATGTGTGCGCATGCATGCATAAAGGTGCCTGCCCCTCCCTTTCCCACTGGTCCACCAACACAGAAAGGTTGGGGACCCCTGATTTAGCATGATAATTATTTAATGGTCTTGGGGAGGCTGAATGCAACCACATGTTTATTAGATCCGTGTCCCTCCTGGCTGGTACTGGCAGCTCGGGAGGGGACACGAGCCTGGTTCCAGGGAATTGTTAACGCTTCTTTGCGGGAGGGTGTCTTCCCGGCGGCCCTAAAGGAGGCCGTGGTGAGGCCCCTCCTCAAGAAGCCTTCCCTGGACCCAGACGAG